GAATCGCTGGTGAAATCGCACTATTTGACTATTTTTTCCTTTTTTTTCAAAGGGGTTAGTTTGTTTAGTTTCTTCTTCACTTGTCACACTTACTCGACTTATTTCGAGTATTTATTTGGGTTTTTTCTTTCTAAATATCAAAATAAATCACTTTTATAATTCCCGTATCTGCGCACTTCGCATCTTGTTGAAAGAAAATTATATTGTGAAATGGCCGACTTTGGTGTTGCCAGCAGGTTTTTATACCCTTGCACTGCGGGAATATTCCATTTGGAAGAATAACGGGCACTGCGTCATTTGGACTAGTTCCGTTACTCTTCCAAATGGAATTTGCCGCAGTGCAAAGAGGAATATAAAAAAAAAATCCGGGGTTGCCGTGACTCTTAACCGTAAAAAAAAATCTTTGAAACTAGCTAGTTAACAATTTTGACAGTTTCGTGATGAATACAAACGTCAGAATTTTATCTAGCTCATGTGCTAGGTAAAATTTCACAGCTTCTTAGTGTAATCAAACCTTATCATGAGTTCCATTTTTTTTATTTTTATTTTTTTTTTTTTTTTTTGAACCGGTTCACTTTTCAACTTTTGGTTTCCATGCATTTACCAAGGCGAATTTATCTAAGGTGGTGTTACTAGCTCAGCTGATTTTATGTATGTGTTTCGCCGCACGGCTTCTGATATCAAATTGAAAAATTTTGTTTGAATTTCTACACACACTCTTACAGATTTTGACAGTTTATGCCGCCAAAGCAAAACGAAATACAAGTAAATTTTTGTTTTTGTACTCCTGCTATCACCTTATATTAATTCGCCTGGGCATTTACTATGGTCGGTGGAACAGTTTTCGGGCGAAACTCAGGATAAGGCAGAATATTGTGGGCGGTAATAAGGAATGAAAATCAAAATGGAATCCGATAAAACAAAATAACGTCCGTTACTTGCAAGTTATAAAATAGAAGTAAATTTAACCATTTCAGCAACAGACGAAATAGAGCTTCTGCACGAGCGTTTGTGTGGGTTTTTCTTTTTTTTTTTCAACTGTCAAAAGTTTTCTTTGCGTTTGGCACAGTAAAACTCAATTTATTCGTACACCATGCCGAAAAA